TTCTTCTTCTTCTTCTTCTTCTTCTTCTTCTTCCCCCCCTTCCGCTTCTTCTCCTTCCTCTTCCTCTTCTTCTTCTCCGCTTCGGCCTCCTTCTTGCTCTCCACTTCTGCAGGCACTCGTCTTTAACGAGATTTTAGATGGGTTTTCCATATGCGCACCGAGCATATCAGACAAGCTATAAATTAGTCAGCCAGGGTGACAAGCCTCTGTTGACATTCATAGTCGAGTGGTTATCGGATAAGAAGAATTACTGACTAGAGGTTATCAGTTGGTCTTTCTAATCCACTACAGCCAAGCCGACCGTCCTCAGTTGTACTCGAGGCCGACGAGACATTGAGTTCAAAAGTGAAAACACGATTTCTAAGTAAATGAACGTCAATCAAAATTGATAGTTTTAAAAATTCTTGAAATTAGTCTATTTTTGTCGTAAAACRTGCACCAGAACTCGACTTCCCCACCAATGTTTTCGAACTCATTCCAAGTTATGTTATTTTGCGTGTCATCAAGAACGTCTTTAGTCACAGAGGCTACACAATCAATATATGAGTCACACTTTGCGTCTTTTGTAGGAAAGAATATAATAAATTAAAATTTATGGAAAACTTGCTAGACTTCAACTAAGGAAGGAAACCTGAATGCATTTAGCTTCGCTATTTTTTTCTGACTGCGTTAAAAGAGCAAACAGATAGACAAATATTGATCAATAACCGAAATACAATACGTATTGTATTTACTTWAAAATATTGAAAAATAAGATTTTATCTGGATCTTTTCATTTCAAGTCCTTTTTGTCAGTTCACCTGTATTAGAAGATGATAAACTGAATAAACTGTTCGCGGTTACCTTTACCATTTTTAGTCTTTTAAACGTATGAATAGCATTGGTCAATTATTTTCTTAGCGTGTACTTGTGGAAGTCCATGGTTTTGATGTTTTCATTCTATGTTTATTTCCTATATTCATTCAATTCATTTAGGACGGTAATTTTACAAACTTGTTAAACAATATGACAAAGTGGAGTTTCATTTAGATTAAATGACAAAGAGACAAAGAAGACGGAAAAGAAAAACTCTAGGAGAAAAGAAAGAATGAGATCAATGGTGAAGCCGGGAAGCCGTACTATTAAAGGCAGAGGGAAAAGTTGATACACTAAGCAAAGGAGCGAGAAACTTATCGCGAACTCGTGAATAAAACTAATACTAGATTAAATTTTAATTCAAATATCCTTCGATATCTTTATCACTGTTCTCTGATAAGTAAAAAATATCCTCTCTAAAGGTTACTTAAGTCACTTAAGAATAAAGTAAGACAGATAAGACTTGATACAGGCTTTTTTTTCAATTCATTCCTCGTTAGTTCCATCAGATTATTGCTATTCTAATCTTCCCGAATTCAAAAACTTCGAGCAACTAGTTTAATCTTGCTAATCCCAGTACGAAACCCCTTAATTTATGACTCAATCTCTTATTTCATTAGTTTATGTTTTTAGTCTTTAGTGGTTGTGTGTATTCACTTAAGACCGACTGAAATCAGTTTTGTAAGTCGCTCTGCAACTGAAATTCACTGATGTAGTCGCATTAACTAAATAAAAAACCTCGAGGTGGGAAGGAACAGAGCAGTTTGAATTCACAAGCAAGAGAAAAGCTATAAAATACATAAAGAATAGACTGAAATGGTTAAATCAGCCATTCCGAGGTCGAGAAAAACTTGGGTCGAGTTGGCATTGCAGTGCATTATGGGACTGGTTTAGGTGACGTAGTATACGCCATCTTGGAAATGTGTCCCAGTAAACAGCCCCACATTGCACTGCAACTCAACCCAGTGTTTTTCCTCAGCAACCTCGGAATGGATAATAAAGCAGAAAGAAGAGATCGAAGCTCTAATTGCCTTAAATTTAAATATACCTGAAGATTTCAACAACAGGAAAACCAAAACGATACGCGACGAAAACCAAGACGTCCTCCCTGCGGTACGAAGAAAATATGAAATGATTGACAAATGAGAATCGTGTAYGAACAAGAAACGGTGGTGGGCATAGCGGTGGAGACTGAGAAACAGTTGACCACATCAATAGAAAGTGTCATCAATGGAAAACCAAGGATATTTCTTGGTACCTTCAGTATGAAAGATGAAACTACAGGGGAGATTGTCGCCTCTTTGTTTAGTGTTGGTCTTACAACTCAACCAAGCCTATTATAAATATGAACCCCTTGGAATATATATAAATATATATATGTATAACTTAATTTAGCGATATATATACATATATATTTGTGCGCTATTTTTGTTGAAAAATAAACAGTAAACCAGTAGCCATTAATTTAGCTTCAAACATGTTAAAAAGTCTTATTATATTACGTATTCTAGAACTTTTTTTTTTTTTACAAAAATATCAGTAAAACATCTGTGTTTTTATATCTTCAAAACTTGTCAAAGTCATTTTAGAGATTTGGTGTGTATTACACAGGTATTTAGGAAGGGAAGAGTCTCCCATTTATTTTGCTTTCAGCTCATTGTTCAACGAAGTAGATCAACTGTTTTTTTGTTGGTTTTTTTTTCACTAAAAAAACCGGAAGCTTTTTTCCCATCTTTTTTTATTTATTTCAGTCAAGCAAGACGAACCACCGATATAATGCCATCGATTTGTCACTTTTAAACAGTTATTGCACTCTCGTGAGCTCGTTTCATTAGACACCTGTACCAACCCTTATCACTTAACTCTAATAAGGCATGGAAACATTACTGTGTTTATACAGCCTAGCTAATAATAAACCAGAACTAGTAATATAATCAAAGCAAGCAATGCTAACAGGATCTAACAGAGGTTACACGATAGATGGTTTTTAATGGAAATAGCATTAGGTATATTCGTGAAAACCTTTCGACCCTAGACTCATTTGCTCACCGACGAGGAAACCACACATACACGAAATCTCTTCTTAATAAGACCTCTTTGGTTATTAATCCGATACAAATTTCGTCTTTTTATAGAGTCTTACGAGAAAGTACAGTGAAATGGAGGTAATTGCAGGACATTCGTGATTTCTTTTCATCGCTAATGTTCTTTCTTTGTCTGAGTACAACATGGTTTATGGGATGTGTTTTATCTGTGGTTTTGTCTTTGATGTTGCCGCTATGTTTTTGCAAATCGTCAGCCTCTGAAATGTATGTTGTGTCTTTCCAACGGTGTATAATGGATTTTTAGATCACCAAGAGATTTGTAGAAGCTCGCATACGACGCATTAGGGAAAAAACTCTATAAGTTTGCGTTTGTGTAGGAAGCTAGATTACTGCAAGACATCATGATACTTACAAAGCTAGTTCCTAAAATCAAATGCGTACCAACCATATCGTGGCTTTGCCGCTAATTTTTATAGCTACTTTTTACACTTATCTATTTGAAAGAGCGTCCTTCTAAGAGAATATTGATTATTTATGTCCACAAATCAAGCGTATTCTCTCGGTTGAGCGTAAAGGGCCTAGCCCATTCTATCATATCTCAATTTCCTTTATGCCTACGGTTTTATTGTCAAAGTCAAAGGTTGCCCGCTAATCTTTGTACTAATGTGTTCACTTTATGAGATTCTTTAACAATTTGTTTTAGAGTTCACGGTACATTTCGTGGAGGAGGGAAAAGGATGGTGGCTAACAAAGAAGTGAGGAGACAACGAGGTGGAATCCCTGCTGAGAATGGGGAGGACGAAAAGCCAACGAGAGGCGCCGCTCCATTAGCTGATCATGACTGACTCATGTCTAAGGCAGAATCCCGTAACACCTGTATCATAACCATCAGCTTATGGAAAAACTATTAGCAATTAACCGCGGGAGAATACCACTCCGTTGGCTTGCTAGTGGAATTAGATTCGAATGAGATCAGAAAGAGTACATGAAAGGCTAGACGTTTAGATTCGCGTGTCGGGGGAAAGGGTTGTCTTGAACACACAGTGGGCCGAACGCACACTTGTTCGTAATAAGTTATTGATTTTGCCTGTTATCATCGTGTCTTAGTAGTTTTACCGTGTTGGGTCACATTATTATTAGTAGAGCCCAGTCTGTCTTGGATTTACCAGTATTGGACGACTAGGCCACGCTAGGAAACCCGGCATGTGATATTGTTTGCGGCTAAAAACTCAAATATCCCCCCAAAAATTCTACAAAATTCCTTTGAAACCACGAAAAAAGTTAAGCAAGTTAAAATTTTCCAAACAATGCTGCAATATTTTTAAAAAACAAAGGAGTTTTAGCTGCTTATAACATGCCTACTATCGTGTTTATAATCACCAAATCATAGCAGGTTATTTTAGGGGTTTCAGAAAAGGACATTTCCTACATTTGCTCGGCATTTTGTTAAGAATTGGTTCATGAGCGACAATAATATGAGTCCATCGCGTTGTTAACGAATAAATAGCTCTATTCCATGATCCAAGATTAAATACTATTCCCAAGGGCTTACGAATTAAATTTGTCTTTGCTCCTAAAAAACGTGTTTGTATTCAGAATGATGATTACCTTGTAGAGAATCTAGATTGAATTAAGGGGGCTTTCTTAGAAACCGGCTGCCAGCGGCGACTTAGAGGTGTTGAGAGTTTTTTCCGTGTTTTCCGGTTTTTGCTGACTTCAAGCTCGCAATTTTATGATAGTATTCTTTGATCATGTTTATTGTAAATGATGGGCCTAGCCCCATCGCCTAGGGCGAAAACGAAATTTGATCTTTTGCTGTATTCTTCGTTGTTTACGTTGCGTTCAGCAAAGTTTGAGTAGAGACTTTTCTGTGTCGGGAATAAGGTGTATACTCGCTTGGGACAATAGAATTAGCAATTGTTTTCATTTTATAGAATACAGTGTGATAAAGTGTGTTTAGGAAGTTTAATGGTTGGATGAAGTGGGCACCACAAGACAACTCCATTGACATTATTCCTAGTTATTTGCATGACATTTTGTCGGTAACCTCACAGAGAATTTGTCTATGGGAAAATAACCCGAGATAAAATATTTGTGTCCGACCATTTTACCGACTAAGACTTAAGGCAATACAGTATTTCTTTATCAAAATTGCTTTCAAACAAGTCCTATCAAAGGCTGTTTGGCAGAGCCGACAATGCTCAACTTGGAAGTGAATCCTAACTAGCTACTACACTGAGAAATTGTATCCAATCCCGGCTTCCAAGTCTAGCATTTTCACTCACTTAAGAAAAAGATAGTTCGTTTCTGGTTTGTTAATCAAAAAGTAAATTTCCCCACTAAGAAATCTTTTAGTAAATATTTGTTTTATATTACTTCACACTAACATGTTGGCAATCCCTTTAGCAAATGAAAAGTAACGTTCATTATAGAAATGATCTTTGAATTTCATACTTGCCATCTCCTAAGCATTTTGAACATTTTTTCATGTTCTCATATTTGATCTAAACAATGGATCTTTATTGAATAGTATTCCAAGTCCTTCAAATATCACTACCGCCAAATACAGCAAAAATGGCAATAAATGGATCAAAGCTATGAAGCTAAATATACAAAGTTATATTTGCGTGCAGCTTTTGTTGTAAAAACGTAGGTTCTTTTTAGGCAGAACTTCGTCTATCAAAACAAGAAAGGCTTTCTCACAAACGTAAAGGTATTCACTTTGGCATCCTCGAATTACAAAATCATAAAATTAGGAAGCCCTTAAGGATAAAGGGCTCAATATAAGAAGGATGAGGATAAAATTAGGTCTTTGAAGAAAGATAAACTTATTTGTGTGGAGCTCATGCAAACCGTATCATGCTGAGAGAAGCTTGTAATCTCTGTATAACTCAGTTGGTGTCATTCTTCTTACTCAAAAAAGGACAGAACTTAACTTCTAACGCTATAGATAAGCTGCTACTTTGATTTTAAAGCACTTTAATTCTTAATATTTTATTCGTTGAGCAGCCAATATCATGGTTTCTGTTGTTTTTTGTACATTTTTTTTTTTTTTTTTGCCTAGTCAGTACAACTCCAAAGATTGGAAAGATTTTCTATTCATCTTTCAAGTTCTGTCTGTATAGGTCTGTGATCTCTCTCTATATTAAATAATTGTTTATAATATTGTAATAAATATGAATCTTTCACAGAAAACTTGTATTTGAAATTTAAATTTTGACAAAGAAAAGCTTTGCTTTCTACCACTTATGTACACCCAAAAACATTGAAATTATGTTCATTGATTTTCAATAATTTTTAAGAACCTCATTGTTTGAGAAAATGAATCATAATATGTCTTGGGAAAATGTCTCTTTTTAAATGAATACACTGCATTTAAATCAGATTTCTTATGCCTTAGCACAGTTCGACTGATGTAAAAGGGCTTTCAACCTTTATCGCTGGAATTAGAATTCTGTATTCCAAGTTTTCTGAAGTGGTGTTCATGTAGACTTGGAATATACTGAACGACATTTTTGAAGTTATTTCTCGGGACTTGATTATTAAACCACTCCAATCATTTCTTCTGTTACACTGCCTGATTCCTCGCTATGTTCTTTGTCATCCTCGGTCTTTTCATTGTCCCCTTTTTTGCTAGTATTGGTAGTATTATGAGTTTTTACGTGCTTCGATAGATGGTCACTGCGCATAAACCTTTTATTACAAGTAGGACAAGCAAACCTTTTTTCTCCTGTATGAGTACGAAGATGTCTTTGAAGCTCATCTGAGCGAGTAAATCTCTTCCCACAGAATAGCCAGTTGCAAACAAAGGGTCGTTCCCCTGTATGCCATCTTAGATGTGCTTTGAGATGCGATGTTTTACCATAGACTTTACCACATCCAGGTATATGGCAGACATGCTGAGATTTCTTCCGAAACGGCGCCCCCGTTGCGCTTAGTCGTTCGTTTTCTTGACAATTCGGACAGTCGCAAGTAGCTCTACCAGTGTAACGGCGAGTAGTTCGAGGGACGAGGTTCTGAGCTGACTGCAAATAAGCAGCAGCAGCAGGGAAGTAAGCTGGTTCTATATACGTAGGGATAGCAGACTTTAAAGGTTCTCCGGTTAAATACGATGGCGATGGGAAGAAATGAGGATGGTTGGCTACTGTCACTGATGGCATCGCTGAAATTGGATGAKGAACAGTCCCAGATGTAAGCTCGTGCGCTAGGCTAGGAAAATGGTTTAAAGTTGAATGAAACGAGGCTGGTGAATTTGAAGCGTCAAGCCAGGCTGGATTGCCATGAACTTCCCAGAACCCTTGTCTGGGTTGTTGATGATGTGTTTGGTGCTCTAAGGACTGTTTATACCAAGGATTGCTGTGGTATGAGTGAGTCATTCGCGTGTATACGGGTTCCACAGCAGGATGGATGCGGCTTACCGCTGCTGCTACGTGATCTGAAGCCGAGCTACGACTACTAGAAAGATTACAGCCTGAATAAAGAAGTTCAGCGTTCTGTCGATCGCCTTGAGTTGCATCAGGAGTGGAAGCGAAAGCTGAACTCATTCCTCGGAGGTTAGCCTCAGACAGACGACTTCTCGCAAGCGAGACGTTTTCATATGGAGATCTTGGTTTCCAAGGATAGAATCCCTTGCCAATGTCGCTCAAGAGCGGTGGACTTTGTTTACCAATTGGACTACAGTTTGAAGCCAACATTATGAGTGTCGCTGCAGTGGAATTGGCCGATAGATTCTAATATACAAACGACAGAGAAACATATTAGTAAGAGACAGTAAACCAGCTTAGGATTGTAATCAAATCTAATCAAATATTCTTTAGCAAAACGAAGGCCACTATCTTGTCACCTTAAATTCACGAGTCATTCACAGATCAGAAAGACATTTACTCTCAGCGCTTGCTTCGTTCACTTAAGGTAAATTCCAGAATAACTGCGCCACTAAAGATGCACAGAAACTATAGATTCAGTCAAGTTTGCGGTGAAGGACTTCTTTTAGGATGCCGCCAGCTCGATCTAAGCCAATCAACAGCGTTATATAGGCCCCCTTGACAAACATGATTGAATGATACGGATTTGTTGACATATAATAAGTTTCTTCAAATGGTACTATTATTCTAACCAATCTATACGAACAATACGATTGATCTATTGCTAGTGACCGACTCCGCTCTCGCGAAGACCAAAATCCAGACATTTACACGAAGAGCTTACGATTAGCACCTGTGGAAAAGCCGTGTAATACATCCTCTGACTTTAACAATTGTCCCTTTTCGTCTTAAGTATGCACTCTCAGCTTTTTACACTTCACACTTCTCGATTGCTTACGGAAGTCCTAATTACCTGAGACTTTGGTCTAATCTTTCCGAAATAGAAAGCACACAGCCATACAATGGCGAGGTATGTCCGTTTGAAATGGTCTAGGGACTCACACGTACGCTCGATGACAAAACCATATGTGACCTGGTTCTGGTAATAAGATCCAAAAAGTGGGTGGTAGTTGGAGTATAGGGGGGCGTTGATGGACCTGCTTAGGGGCGGCTGATGGGATGGCTTCCAATAGTTCGTCCGTCAACCATCAAATCTTCAGCTCTTAAGCAAAGCTCCCAACGACACCGACAAGATAACTCAACCGTGGTGCTCTAAAGAGCCGCAATACGAAACCACAAGAATAAAGAACAATGATACCGGTATATGGTACAAATAAACAAGGACCAACCTCACGCCTAACAATTACCTTACATGAATTTCTGATGTTCGAAGTCCAAAAATCTACTGAGGGGGGACGATTGTGCTATGAAATCACAAGAGTTACTTGTGCAATCGATTCCTATTGATGATAGTGATCGGCTTATTCTTCAGCTTAACGCTATAAGTCCAATTGTTTGACTATTTCTATAGGTCTAAGAGTAGAGTGTCTATGGTCCCTATGGAATAGATGTCATGGATCTTATGATTTGAAAAAAACATGATGGGAGTCGTTTGTATTTCTAATTATAATAACTTAAAACTCCCCAGGACGTCACAGTTAAGTTTTGAGGTCTTTTTATGAGGCTAAACAAAGTGTATTTTGAGACCCTGTAAATGGTGAAAGCTGACCCGCTGTGAAAGGGTTTAACATCGTTGTATTTTATAATTACACAAGATGGAATAGCACTTGGTATTGTCAGCGAGCTAATTTCACCAATCTTCCCTCTAGTATAATATTGTCTTATTTGCCGGGGAAAAAGACATCTAGACCTGTAACTATAGCTGTATATGGGTCGTAGGGAGTTTATTTGCCTGTCCGCCCTCGTGCGCGGTTAGCTGTGCGCATTTTAAAGAATAAAGAACAAATATAAAGAAATTTTGAGGTTGGACTCAAGATCATTACAACCATTGCAAACGCTTATGATATTTTGAATATCTAAACTAAGTCAAGTGTTGAATAGTTTGAATTTTACCTTAYAGACCGTAGTTCCTTGTTCCTTTGACGGAGTTCCAAAATGAATGTTCGGATGTTCAATTAACCTTTTTCTTATCGAAGTCGGGTGTAATTTAGTACAAAGAAAGAAAGCCTAGAGTTGGTATCTTCTGGCACTACTACTGCTATTCCTTACTCGGTTAATACTCAAGTTCCACTGTGTGAGCACAGAGAACACGCAAGAATAGCAACTCAACTCAGGCGTGGTTTCGAAAATTATCGACAGACTTCAAAACTGATAGATTTAATTAGCTATCGTTTGATGTGCCGCTATTGATTGATTGACAAGACCCGACCGAGGTTGATCGAGTTGTTCGCTCACAATAAAACACACCTACAATATAAAGACACAGATAAGCAGAGCAGCTGCGAGCCTCTAAAATCAATCTCGTATTCTTTGTTGGGTCCTGTGCCGAAACAAGCAAACAAAGAACCGATTTGTGAGGTCAAACCTGCCTCCGGGAGTTGACACCGACAGGCTAATTATGAACATTCTCAGAACGTTTCTTCGTGACGCTCGGATTACTCGGTTGTTCCATTTGGAGTGTAAATTGTACTGCAACGCCCCCCTCTTGACAATATTTTGACAGTATTGATGCCGGGAAAGGCCGAGAAACTCGCACATGCATTCAAAGCTTTCGCCCTTTGTCCTGAGTTGATTTTAGCCAAAGCCAGTTGAGTTTGTGTGTTGAGTGAGACTGAAGATGTTGTTCTGTGAATGCGGCGGTCGGCAAAGTAAAACTACGACCTGACTAAATGCGATAAGGATCGCGGGCTTGTGTTGTTTTATCATTGAAGACTCTTCAATTCAAAAGGACCAAACACGATGGGTCTTACAACTCGAAATATCTCAGGAAGAGGAGCCAAAAGGTCGTTACAAATCTTCACATCTTTCTTAAAGTGTACACTTTGTATTAAGCGTTTATTGACTTAGCGCATTCAGTGTATTAATGCATTTGTTTACAGAAACCATTGTTTACTTGACGATTACCAGTACTAACTTAATAAGTAAACAGAGCCAAGCGGAGAAGCGAGGCGCACCATCTTCAACCCGACGTCGTGAAAATCATTTTCTTCGCATTGGTTTAAGAGTGTAACGGTCTTCGGCGTAAAAATCTAATCACTGAACCTTAAGCCGACATTATTAGTGTTTTTTTTAAGTTTCCTAAGTCCTTCTAATGCCATTGTAACCCTTAATAAGGATAATCAGGCTTAAAATTGCCTCCAGCACTTTAAAACTCTGTAATAAACTCTAGAACATACAAGAGCAATAAAACCAAAAAATATATCGAGGAAATGAAAAAAAAACTCCACTTTTTTTCTTGGTAGTCTCCGGACACGTGGACTCTGAAATCTTCGCGCGAAGGCGGTCTGTCGGTAACTTCAAAACCTCCCATACAATAGCTGTAATTAAATTAAGAAACAACGTGGACGCGACGACAGGACTGGTGAACGAAATCCCGAATCATACAACCATAACACACGACAAGTTTGACAACCATACACGCATAGATAAGCCTATATATTCCTATACATCCAACCTAATATAACCCATGGAGCTGACTTAGAGAAACTCAAGATAATTGCAGACGTGAATAGATCTATTGAAATACAAAGCTACCCTGGTAGGATTCTATTGATGTATTGACTCAATATAACAGTGATGTTTTTTAAAACCACGTTCTATTTGTGTTATTCGGATATCTATACGTTTCTACTGTGATTGTTAGATCAACCAAGGGACAAAATCAGCATCGTAATTGCAATATCAATTGAATAATCCCTTTACAATTTACAATGTTTTTCTTTGAATACAGTGTTGTGCGAAGCGTCGAATATAAAGAAGATTTCGTTTGGCTTACCGCTATCTTTCTAAACAACACTTTTAGTGATTCGCGGAGTTTTTAATATTTCATTTTTATGAGTATTAGTTCATATCCTCAATGAGTATTGAACTTTCGGGTTTTTGGGGCCTTTTGGGCACCCCTCTGCGCTTAACAAGTGCCGACAAGCTGTGAAAGGCAGGGCTTGTGAACTGGACTTGCTACAAAGCAGTTGTCTTAATAAAATATCAAATGCTTGAGTTTTCTTTACATTATTTAAGAGTTTATGAAACCAGCTTTGCGGGACAGCACCCGGATGAGAAAGAACGCAGCGCCCTCCTCTTTCAAGAATTAAAAAACTGACAGCCTGTCATCAGAAAATTGTCTAGATTCTTCAACTTTCATCAATTCTTTAAATTATAAAAAATAGCCAGCTCTCACGCTCTGTTTTAAAATTTTTCTTATTTCATTTTAATGTCATATTTCCAAGTTTTTGCCGTTTATATTAAGCGGTTAGCCAAAACAAACATCTTCATAAAATGAAATTTGTTGCAAATTATATTTCAAGATGCCTATGTTTACAGAAATTAATATCACGCATAGCTCATAATAAAGTTTCCAATTTTCTCTTTCTTGTATGGTTCATAAGGTCAAGAAAAAAATCAGTTATTTTATCACCACTTAAAAATAGACTAAAAAAAGTGTTTCCAGACGAGTCGAATTGTATTCAAACATGCCATATTTTTATTACAGTTTAATATCATAAAACACACAGTGATTTTAATGTATTTTTTTCCTTTTCTTAGTATGTACCTGGTACGTCGGGTCATCACCTGTTCTGACGCACTTACGCACTATTGTCTTAAACAAATGAAGTCTCTTTTTCATTCTAGACACTAGTTTCTAGCTACATGTGGTCAGCGAGCACGACCAAAAATATCGGGTAGTTTTAAACTCACATTGTTATCTATTTCTATTTACATAAAAATTTCAAAGACATTTTATGTTATTTGGGATAGTGAATTCCTGCATTGACGTGAGTTTTTTTATGCTACATACTGGGATAATTGGCCCTGACTATTTAAAATGGGGGAAACGTTCAATAGCCGATCGCGAAAGGAAAACCAGAAATTCCTTTTTGAAAAATAAAATCAATTTCTTTCTTTCTTCTATTCACTCTCACTCTCTTTCTCTCTGTCTGCTCGTTCTTTATGCGTTTCTATTTCTCTATAAATGAGAGTTCGATTTTTTAATAAAGAATAAGGGAAAAAATATATAACACTAATGTAAACACAAATTAAATGTTCTACATAGCCTCTCGCGCTTCAAAGTATAGGCAAATTTAACGTAGTTTTTTCTATACGAATTAACAATGTTTAACAACTGTTCATAAAACACGTTAATAACACGGTCTTGCAATCAACGATAGAGATAATTACGTATATCCGTTTCGATATCTGACTCTTTGGGACAATTGAGTAAATGAATCAAAAGTTTCAGTCCTGCTTTCATCTCGCTTGTAAGTTTTCTTTATCTTTCTTTGTCGTATAATCGCTATTTAGTTGTATAGTCAACTAGTCTAGTATCAAACTGTGGAGATCTCGTAGCGAGATAACATATTGTCAATAGTTCGAGTCCGCTTTTTCAAATATTTCTAGAAACCTTGGAGGACATTCTTCACCGCCATGTGCCGTATCAGGTCATTCAACACTTAATTACATTACTCATTTTAAGGCTTTGTATATCACTCATTTGGAAAATAATATATTAAATTTTCATTAAGAGAATATAGTTATGAACTTTGCTATAAGTAGAACAGCTATTAGAATTACGAATAAGTTTTTTTCTTTTATTTCGTGAGCTTGTTTACAATGTAAGAGAGACGAATGTCTATCTCGACAGTTCTTCGTCTTCATTTAATTTTTTTTTTTTTTTCAAGAGAAATTAGATTTTCTTTTGTTGTGTTAAAAAGGTGTTATCCACAAGCAACTTTTGGTTTGAAATAATTTCTGTCCTAACAAAGAAAAAGATTATTATTAAAAGTTATGAAGCTTTGAAATTATTACTCGAATATCGCATGACGAGGCATTCAGATGTGAACAGTTCTTTTCCTGAGGAAACGTCAAATAAATCCTGGTCAAGCTTACTAAAATAAGCAAATTTAGTGAGTGATAAAAATAGATTTACGTTTTTTTTAAATAAGAGAAAAATAACGGAGGTCATGTTTTGAATTATCAATTTTTTTCACAAGTACCTGTCTCTCAAATTTTCACTTATCTGATCTAATTTTTTAATACTCGAACTCGTTAAAAAATAGGATTGTGAAGAAGATCAAGGAACTTGAATATTATAGTTTAACAGGAATTGTTTTTTCAATAACGAGCAATAACGGCAAAAAGCGCCAAAAACTAGACTTTCTTATGAGTTTCGATCCCAATTTTCGTTTTGGGTTAACACTCAAAACCTTTTTTAAACAGTTAGAACTGATGTACTATGATAAAATGCCTGTTTGAAGCGGTATTTTCAATTGTACAAAGATGTTTTATTGCATTTGTGTTAGAATGTTGCTTTGTCAGGCTTTTTTTATAGAAAATATATGGGAAATAAGCAAATGAAGGCCTAAACCTCATTTTCGAATAAAAGTTTTGCTTTGGGTAAACGCTTTGATTCCACTTTCATCGGTCATCCCCTCTTCCAAACAACTTAAACTTTAATTTCTGAATAWAAAGATTTTAGCCTTGTACAACAGCCTTTCTTCAAGAAAATAGTTTTTGGTGCTCACTGCTTAAATACGAAAAGAATTCCCTCTTATAGTTTAAAATGTGAGATGACTTTAAGTCTAGTTAGAACAATGACTCTTTAAATGAGAATTAATAAAGGACTATGTTAGATATACCATGGCACATGTTTGCAGATTAAAAGCAATAGCATGCAATGGGTGTTGATTGGATTTCTTCCAGATGATGATGATAAATTTGGACTAGAACATTTTCTTTATACATGGTCTAATATCGTACCACAGATAGTATTGAACCAGTTAAAGAGGAGAAAAATATTACACTAAATGGGTATCCATGTTTTTATGTTCAGCGAATAGAAGGAACAATGTGTTGCCATTTTTATTTCAAAGAAAAAAATCAGAAATCCCCCCCCCCCCCCTCTCTCTCTCTCTCTCTCTCTGTTTCTGTCCCTCCGACTCTCACTCTCTTTCAAACACCTTGATATATACTTCCCATCAAAGATTATGCTAGGGTTATAGAATCCACTTCAAATCCATGTGCCCCACTGAAGAGCCAGACCCGCATAAGAATCTCAAAGCATTTTTTAATTCAAGTGTACAACAGGTACGGAAAATTTATTATAGATCTTTTCAACTACTGAGCCTAAATGGCAATGTTTACCTGTTATCTGGACGTGACTTAGCATTGACATAGTGGTACCTGCAATAGAGCTTAAGGATGTGCGCGCGATATGAAGGTGGCCTGACAGAGAAGCAATCTCCAACACGAAATATTCTAAAAACAATTGACGAAAACTTGGTAAAATTGTCTTGACTGAATTTGAAGAATATTAGCGTCTGGAGTGACTGGGGATTTCGGCTCATCGTGTAAAAATTCGTGTATGGCCGCACATTAGAAATTATGATTATATTCAGCCTCGTTAAGGACTCAGCCAAGCCACGACATCGTGAAACACTTATCTGTCGTTACTTTTTTTTAATTCATATTTTTTTCTTTTCTTGGAATACCAATATTAAACATATGTGACGCCCAGTAGGCTCGGCAATTCTTAACTCTGTCCACCTACTATAGACATACTTGAAGCGTGTGGGCATGGAAGCTTCACAACCTACTTGTCATATACGACCCAGCCCTTTGAAGGGTTTAATGGATTGAATAAATATTTAATTCTCACTTCTCTGTTGTAAAAAACGGGTAAATATTCTTCTATTCTAGCCCTTTAAAGCTTTGTATTCAACATTTCAAGCTTGTTCAAAACACTAGTAAAATTTTAAAGAATTGAGTTGAATTACTAGAAATTGACTCGTCCGGGATTTGCTAAAGATGAGGCAAAAAAAAGCTAAACCAAACTGATTCGTGTTGTATCTTAAGGTCTATCATTTCGTAGGTTAATTCATAAAATTTCAGTAAAATACAAACGTTTTCTTTCTTTATCTCATCTTCTCTTTTTATATTGTCGAGGATAAAGTTACGTTGTAAAACAAGTACCAGACGTTTTACAATTTTGTTTCCTAGTTATCTGAATAGCTGGCGAACGAAAGACATCGCTGTTTCAGTCCTCTTCATTGTCTATTCTATAAACAAGACATCTTAAACACTATAAAACATAGAAAAGGCGTTTTGAAGGTTTTTCTTGCCTTTCAAGAACATTTTTTTAAAGGAAATCTCCACTTTGAAAACGCGGGAAAAAAGAGGATACATAAATTGCGGTCGTTTTCGGTAGAACTGATTTGAGACACTCTTTAGAAAACCTTTCAAATCTCAACTTTCGTCTAATATAACCTCTTGAAAAAAGGTGATGTTAAAATGAAAATGTTTCTTAAATTGTAATTTTAAGGTCGTTTGTTGTATTATCTTTTCGATACAAACAGAAATGTAAATGTTACGAGTTAAGAAAGATCATTTAAGGACTTACTATCATGTATACCTACCACGAACTGAAGGAACAGCTGTAGAGATTTGAACTTCTGAAGATGTCTTACCCCTCGGTGACTCGGAGAAGATTTGTTAAAGTCTTTCTAAAACAGATCACTTTTGTAACCGGAATGTTGAAAATATCTATTAACTTCTTTTGTTTATCTTCCAAGGTTTGTGTTCTTTATGCCTTAGTTTATTCTAGGTCTAATCTCCGCCTACATTTGTTCGAATAGAAGCAAGTGAAAATTTCGATTCTTCTGTACTGTGGAACACAGTGTCAATAAACTTAATTGTTTCCTAGAATAGCCGCAGAGTCAATTCGCTTTATGTTCAAGTTCCCATCGCTTGCTTTTGAAAAATTAATATCTATCGCACTAATGACCTCCAATTTGCATGTATTCCCTAATTTTTAATACCTGTAGTTTTACATCAAGTTATACCCTTAGTTGCAGCTCGAGTTAAACTGCATCTTATCTCTACTGACTTCCTAGTTGTTAAAAACATCTACAGATACTGATCCACTTAAATTTTTTCGATATTATTAATCTTATTTATTTTTCTCATAATGAGATTCGACAACCTTACTTCATTATATCATTAAGTATGAGGATGACTTCGCGTTCAAATTATTGTTATTCACAGCATTGATAATGTACTGTACGACTGGATGCGGTAAGATTACATGCATCTCACAATTGGAGAATAAAAATACAACTTTTTCACGCGAAATCAAAATAAAATAACTAGTATCAGATATATGTTCGTGTATTCGTTCAGCATCGCCGGATTCTGCCCTGAACTTTTTTCATTTTGTTGCGGGTTTTTTTTTTTTTTTTTCATGAGCGGGTCACAGCGCCCTAATGGAAAAGGTTTCTCATAGGCGTGTATGTCTCTAACTACGTACCAATCAGTGGTCACAATTTCTAGTTTTCTCGTTAACTAGACACTAAAATGGGCTGGTGAGAAACTTTCAAAGGCGTGACGATAGAAAGGCGAGTTTACAAAGGCTTACAATGACGAAAAGGGTTGACCAGATGCATACAGTCCCACGAAAATCGCCAGGCCAAAGACACTAAAGAATTTGTTCACAATGAAGTGGTAGGCACTTCATAGTCTACTCTTCTCTAATTACTATAAGTAGATTGAACCCTTATTATTGATTGCTATCCTACTTCAAATCATAATAGGATAAAAAGGCTTCTTCGACTTAACAAAGACGGGTTTTTTGAATAAAGTTTCCATTTGAAACCAAACCTTAGTAAAACGGCTTTTCAATTCTCTCTAAAACCCACGTTCAAATTTTATAATTTTACGTTCAAATTTTATCGCTGATCCTATCGCCAAGAGAATCTCAAGTCAAACATAAACCGAATGTGAACAATCTAATAAGCTAAATCTGATTATTTTTTCTCTGAAATATAAACAAATGGCACGGGGAATCTTGACATGTAAAACGGCTGAACCAGCATTAAGGCATGTGTTTATATTTCAACTTTCTTGTCAAACTACAAAAATCTGTTGTTTTAAAACAATTTCCTCGTTTGATTGAGCATGTGTTTTTGTGGTGATTTGAAGTCAAGGAAGTAATCACTTCAAGCAGCTGCGTCCGGCTATGATCTGCTAAACGTTTCGCAACGTAAACAGTAATTAAGACTCGTAAAAATTGCATACTTCAAATCAGTACTATCTCGAGTTTATCTTTTATTTTGTAAACCCGGTTACTTCTCGTTAATTCCAGCTCTCAAATTTCAATTTATTTTTTCTAGAAATCGTACGGAATAATTGAGGCTAGTCTATTCATTTCTTCACTTAATTGGGACTAGTTTTTCGACAACRCCTTCTAAATGTCATAACCGAGCTGAATTATACATTTTTTAATTTCATTTTCAATAACAAAAATGGGGTATTAACGAGGAAAGATGATTTCGAATGTATTTGAAAGTTTACTTCATTATTTTCTAATCTTAAAGAAAGTATGGAATCTTTTTCTACTAACAGTAAATTCAGCAGATTCAGTCATTCTCACAAACGGAAATTTTATCCATAGCCAGAAATATGGAACCGGAACAGGCGGAGCTTATTTTCGGCTATATTAGCATAAATTAGCATAGGTCAATCAAATCACTGTGTTGAACAATTGTGATTGGCTAATCGCTTAACCCGAATCAATCTGTACATTTGGGTTTAAACATGGCGGACTCGACTGAGCTAGGCCCGATGAACTTTCGAAGAAGAGAAAGTGTGATACRTCTTTTTATGAGGTTGAAAGGTTGATATCAAGTCGAAAAGTCAATGGCAAACAACTCGAATATTTGGTAAAGTGGAAATATTATTCCATATACGAAGCATCCTGGGAACCGTCAGAAAATATAACAACAGAATGCATCAAGTAAGTTGAAATGCAATGACTGACTTTAATACTACTCTTCGAGCTTCTTCTAGTTCATTTGGGAAATAGCCCTTCATTATTGTCATCAAGCTAAAGATAATAAAGTTTGATTTTAAATCCTAAATTTGAGTTTTTGGGAAATGGTTGAACCACGAGCCAAAAAAGTGACAATAAACAACTCCGGTTTACTTCACCCCCGAAGCACATGGTCGTCATAGGGCTATAATTTTAAAACTGATTTAAAAAATTTTGATCTCGAAAACTTAATTGCATGACTTAGAGTACTTTATATATATTACTTACAATAATCTCTGAGTAGAAAAACAACAACAACAGAGTTTTAGCAACAAAACMATTAATAGTATTTATTGTATTACRACAGGTATTTTGAAAGTCCATTACCATCACAGCAAATCATATTAGATGAAGTGGCAAGACTTAAAAARTAAAAGCAGCCTTCCTGTCACAGTAAACTTCAGGCATGATGTCTTTAAGTTTTTGTTCAAGGGAAAGCTTTGCAGGATGGCAGATTTTGGACGAAAATGACTTTCCATCAGTATTTTTCCCTGAGAGCTGGGATAAATGTATAGATTCCCATGGACAAGGAACAAAAATATTCTTCCCCATAAAAGTTAGAACACTGCTGTCATTCTCTACTAAGRAATATACCAAAACAAGCAATGGTAGTTTTGAAGTCACTCCTAGAGCATTTGAAGAAAAAATTACTTTTGCAATCAGGAGAAGAGCAACTGGTGCTTAGTTAACAATTATTAACACTGTAGATGGGTATACATCACAGGAAAAGAAGTAAAATAAATCATGAATGTTATCAATATAAACTATGATGGTTTTCTGTTCGGCGAAAC